AAGCAGACATGTGACAGACAAGTCACTAAATCTTAATTATTGGAGACAGTAACCTGTTTTCTGGTCATTAATTTTCAATCTCTGAAATGGTTTAAAGTTCAGAGAATCACATTAGCCACTGAACATTACTTGGTCTATAATGTGAAGATCCTCGCCTTCAAAAGAACTCATCAACATACAAGATAAACCGTCTCACATAAAATAATAATAATGATAACGATAAATAATAATCGCACACTGTTAAGTACACAAGGGATTAGAGCATTCTATCACTTCCAAACAACGTGAAGAATTCCCGCACTCTGAAGTACCTAAGATCCTACCTACACCACACCCGCACAATGGGGATAATTTCAGACTCAACAATACCCAAGGACCTCCCCAATGACCTGCAACAGACCCCTACCCCACAGCCGTCTTAACAAAATTATGGATCTTTGGGCAAACCAGCGCGATGAATCATTACGACAACCGATGGCAGAAATGAAATTGTTATTTATGGCAAGTTACTTAACATACACAAATTATTACAGGGCCCTTGTGATTGCTGGACCCCCCAGGTAAGTGTCCAGGGACTATACGTTAAGACGGCCCTGCCTTACCCCCTGACAATGTGAGGAATATCACACTGTAATGCAGTGTTCTTCAACCCGTGGTCCGGGAAAAAAACAACTTGCCTGCGAAAATATCTAGTTGGTTCTCTCTCTCTTTCTCTCTTTTTTCTTTCTTTTATTTGAAACTTCCTTGCCCTGAAGCAGACACACTTTTTCAGAATGGAAACTACTGCTCTAAAGACAACTTGAAACAAACGGTACTTGAACCTCGCCCCCTCCTCCCAGCCTCTTGTCCCTGTCGGCCCCTCATCCTCGGCCTCTAAACTTCCTAATGTCCATCACGTGACCAGACAAATTATTCCAAACGATCATGACCATCTCCGATTTCTCTGGAGAGATGTCGTCAAAGAATATTATTAGGACCCTTGCAGACACGAAAGTCGTCAGTTCTACAGCAGACTGATTTTATGTTATGTAGAGTAGTATAGTAGGTTTTTACCCCACCAGGACATCACACAAGCGATAAGCACCCGATGACACAAAGTGCCACCATGTGGATGAGGATCACCCGTGGATAGGTCCCGGAAACAGCGTTCAGCCATTAGACCATATTTATGGTCGGGCTATATTGCGGCCCCTGGCAAGAGCCAGAGTGGTGCTTCAAATAACGAAAAATTGCATCTTACAAGGAGATGACTGGATTAGTAGCATTATGTAATGTTCCCTCTTAGCTCGTTATCTGTTAGTACCCTCAGACTTGTTTCTGTGGTGATAGATATTTGATATGCGCTCTTTAATACACAGTCGTAGCTTGGTATATGAAACATCATAAGGAGAAGACAGAAGCGGTGTGCATTGAGTAGATTTTTAGTAAAAAGTCAACCGAGTCCAAGCAACGAAAAGAGACAGAAACAAGGTTTAGGTTTAGGTTTAGGTTTAGATGACGGATCAACATCGTGGCACAAGGGGTAACCCATAAGTGCTCTATTCTACTTCTGACTCAAGCCTGAGTCCGAAGAATCTCAGCGCAGCGCACGAACTCCGCAGCAGTGATGATAATTATGAAATACTATGGGTAGATTTTTAACTCTAAATTTATCGGGCAGTGCCGTTAAGCTACTTTCAACTGCTAAGGATTTTTTACGTGCGCAACAATACACACGGGCATCCGATCTTACTACCCAGAGACCAGTAAAAATAATTAGAAGTCAAAGCGAAATACTCCCAGCATTCACCAGGGCCTGAACGCTGGACCTCCAGCACTCGAGGCAGATGCTATACCTCGTGACCTCGTAAACAATAGAATTTAGGATTCCTAAAGATTTACTGGAAGGGGACTGTGTTTCTAAACATCAACATCTCACTCTCCTCCCTTCTCAATACCACCCTAATAGGCTCTGGACTTTTCGCAGGTGCGTGTAAAGTGAGGGTACAAAACACGAACTCTGTAGCTCTATTAACGACTCCAGGGATATCCAAACAACCTGCGACCTTGAACTGAAAGATAGAGTCGCAAATCGAACCCGCAACCTTGAAACCTGAGACAAACGTCTTAGCCAGCCCCACCACGGAAGCCCTGGTACCTTAGCTACATGATGTTCTTTCTCTTGTGCTATGTTTGCAACAAGGAGTAAAAGCTGTAGCTCAAATCCAACAAGAAAAGTAAGAAAGTAAATTTCATCCCACCAGGACATCACACAGAGCAATAAACACCCGGTGTCACAAAGTACCACCATGCGGATGAGGATCACCCATGGAGAGGTCCCAGAAACAGCGTTTACCAATTAGGTTATATTAGAGCCCCGGCAACAGCCAGGATGGGGCTTCAAAATAACGAAAAATTGCATCCCAATAGGGGAGTACGAATACAGTCTAGCAAGAAAACGAATGGAACCGGAATGCCTGTAAAAAAAACTGTCACATAAACTAATTCTACCGATTAGATATTTACAACATAAAACTAACAAATATAGGCAAAATAATCAAATTTGTAGGACACCAGGAGCCTCTTTTGGCAAGGGTGAAACGTCGCGAGCTAAATTGGTTCGGGCACGTGGTGAAACTTGGCCGGCCGGCCTGGGGGTGGAAAGGGACTCGAATAGTATCCATTATCAGGCTGGGTCCGGCTTTACAAGGACACTAACCCACGACCTTCGCATCTGTAGGCGAGCGCATAACCGTTACACCACGGCGGCCCGCTGTATTACCGTATGGGATGCAAACATCCAAAAATCTAAGTATACAGTGCTACTCACAATGAGGATACACTTGTAAGAAATTAAAGATCCCTTTTCACGCCTTAGGCGCATCGAGCATATGGGAAGAGCGTCCCATATTTTTACAGACTAATCGTCACTAGGTGGGTAATGTAGTCAGCATTACGCCGGCAGTCCTTACTTCCCCAGGACAGCCATCCTGGTACCTATTTTAGGCTGGGTCGACCTGCGACCGTGATAAAAATCCACGCAGCCAGCAGTGGGTTTCCTTCGCGGTAGGTTGGAATTACGAATCGGACTCACAATGCCTTGGGTGCACTTGAATACATGTATATTTCCTTGAATATACACCGGATAGGAAAAAATATACATACAAGAGACAGCGGAAGGTCTAATGTTTCGAATACTGTCGCTCCCCGTGTGGGTTGCCGGGCCCTGTTATAAGGAAAACAAGAATAGACCTACTGCCTACCCAAAAGCATGACGTAAGAGTCGACTAATTAGGAGCTTCCATTAAAGTCGAAGAGAATCTGCCTGAGAGGCGAATAACCAACAGTCTGCATATAAATCAGTCAGATCTGTCAAGCGGTTGCACACGCAACACTCAGGTTCTGGAACAGGACTGCAGTCCAGAAGTGGACGAACAACCAGAACTTTCCACAAGAGTTAACAGCTGGTGAACGCCAAGAAGAAAAAGAAGAAGAAGAAGAATACTATCGCTAGAGCACAGTTGTGTAACCAACCACTCATACCAACAAGTACCGCAAGAGATGCTTTTTCGTGTGTGGGGTGAGTTCGGCTACCGCTTAGAAGTTCGCTGTGCAGCAGGCGGCGGCCATATTGAACATCTATAACCTCTACTGTAAGTTTCTAAACTTTAGATCTTCCTCTCTCTCTCTCTCTCTCTCTCTCTCTCTCTCACTCTCTCTCTCTCTCTCTCTCTCTCTCTCTCTCTCTCTTTAATGTATATCATTAACGTGTAAATAAAAGACGCTGGCGTTGGATAGGACACACATTGAGAAAACATGAGAACAATATAACTAGAGTATCTTTGCACTGGAACCCATAATGGCATAGAAATAAAGGAAGAAAAAAACACACACGAAGAAAGAAGCTAGAGTGAAATTACATCTATATGGATCTAGTTTCAACACAGAGGCGTTCAGGATACACCTTATTACGTTTAGACTTTGATAATCTGAATAAGAATAAGGACGAATAGAAAGTATAGGAAAATGTAGCAAAGGGGCTAGAAAGTATAGCAAAGGAACTATAAAGTATAACAAAAGGACTAGAAAATATAGCACTGGGACTAAAAAGTAAAGCCCAGGGACTAGAAAGTATAGCAAAGAGACTAGAAAGTATAGCAAAGGGACTATAAAGTATAGCAAAGGGACTATAAAGCATAGCAAAGGGACTAGAAAGTATAGCACAGGGACCAGAATGTATAGCACATGGACTTGAAAGTTTAGCAAAGAGACTAGAAAGTTTAGCGAAGGGACTAAAGTATAGCAACAGGACTAGAAAATATAGCACAGGGACTAGAAAGTATAGCAAAAGAACTAGAAAGTATAGGATATACCCAAAGCTAAGTTTCAATTGAAAATTTTTTTTTTTATAAACAACACAAGTTCCCAAAGAAGTTTTTTTTTTATCATGAATGAAATGAGGTAACAAATGAGTTCAATCATTTTGCTGTCTAGCGTGTCCAATTATGTCTATATGGTTCTCTATTATACGTCAATGAACACCAATCAAAACATTTTTGTTCTGTCGCCTGCATTTTCTCCCATAACGGAGCATAAATGGAGCATTAACATCAATATTGACATGCTTAAACATCAATAAACATTCACAAGACATCAGTAACAACATCAACTAAGATATCAGTAAGAACATCAATGAAGACATCAGTAACAAGATCAGTAAAGACACCAGTAGCCGCAACAAAGACGGTAGTAAGAGCATCAACAAGGACAGAGACAACAACATCAGTACAGGCATCGGTAACTACATCAAATACAGCGGTAAAAACATAAATAGATAGAGGAGTAACAACAATAACTAAGACGCCAGTAACAAGAACAAAAAACATCAGTAACAACAGCGACAACGACATAAGTAATTATAACAACGGAAACATTAGTAACAATAGCAACAACTACATTAGTAATTATAATAACAAAGACATAAGTAAGAAGAAACACAGCACTAAAACAAAAAGTCTTACCCTGGGCGTATCTGATGAGCTTACAAACGACAGGACCGAAAATAAATCTCTCCATCATCATGGGTATCAGAGTAAAGGGCATACAGAACACAGCCAGGAGGAGGTCACTGATGGCCAGGTTTAACAGAAACATGTTGGTAACTGTCCTCATCTTCTTGTGCCTCACCAGAGTCAGTATCACCAAAGTGTTCCCAACCACCGACAAGAGAAAGATGAGGAGGTAGGGGAGGATGATGAAGTCGTTGACCTGGCTGATGTTGCCTCGTCGGGTGGAGTTACACATCTGTACGTACTGGCTCCATGTCGTATTGGAGGTTCTGTGATCAAATCCACGAAGGGAGTCGTTGAACTGATTGTAGAAATGCCGGCAAAACTCCATATTTGAGACGGTCTGTTGGAATTCGAAAGCCGATCAGAACGCGGGAAATCCCACTGAAATTACGCACATATTTTGACAGTAAAAATTGTGTTGTTTGGTCATATTAAAAGCCACAGTGGTTTGGAGAGAACAGTAACGAGGGTCTGGTTCTTGAAAGAAGAGGCAGAGGATGACCAACGCGACCGAATACCCCGGAGGTCAAGGAAACGTGGGTTATGAATGTTCACTCGGCGGGAACGATGGCAAAGGACAAAGTGGCGTTCCGGTGTACTGTGAAGGGTGCGACGTTCTGCAGAGGACCTCCTTCATGATGATAATGATGATGAAATAATGTTATTTTTATTATCACCATAGTTGAATTGATTGTAGGACCTTTAACAAAGTCGATTTTATGTTAATTCTTTTACTCCCAAAACAACGTATGATGTCTGATTAACTTTTCTATGAATAGACATTTTATCAGAACATAGTAAAGAAACCTGGCTTCCTAAGTATTTAGCTTCTTTCAAATTAATACACACCTGGATTTTCCTAGTAAAGATTATCTATAGGTATCTCATGTAAAACCATCTGGTACTCAGAAGGATACTGTTCCTCTATTTTTAAATTTTCTCTCAAATGCAGTGTCCCGCGTCGCGACGCTTTTGTGTGTGTGTGGGCGGAACTCGGCAGACAGGCTCCATAAATTGTAGATTTATAGGTCAAATCTAATCTACTATTGATTTCTCACTGACATTTCATTTCCGGTTACACTACCAATAAATTTCTGGGTTTTTAACTTTTTGTCAAAGATCCACTTTTTGTCAATAGCCCACTGGCGCTCTTTCTGTTGTAAAAATTAACGACCACTTTTAATATGTTTGGTTTGCCAAAAATCTGAGCCTCATGTTGATATATCCATGCAGTGGACATTTGATTGATGTCCCGTCTGAAATAGACGTAACTTTAACGAGGAAGCGTCTGCAAACCTCCCCATACTTTAGATTTAGCGAGTAATTTTTAGATCTATGTATATATTTTTTGAAGATTTAATTAGGTGATGTTCCATTGCATCAGGTCCGGCTTCAATGTAATCCTATTACTCATCCAGGAATTGCAGAGTACACCAAGGTGGCCTAGGGACATGGCGTCCGTTTCGAGTGCTGAAGGTCCCGGGTTCAAGCCCAGGTAAAGAGAGAGGGGGGGGGGGGAGGAATTGTTTTTTCACGTGGACTTTCAGTAATTTCTCCCTGGTCTCTGTGTAATAAGATAGGACGCCCGTGTGTCTTGTTGCGCACGCAAAAAATCCCTTGACAGTTTAAAATAAAAAAAAGAGTAGCCTACCGGTGCTGCCCGAGCAATATTTGAAGTTAAAAATCTACCAAAAAGTAATTTTCAGGATAGTCGCCGGTGCTATGGAGTTCGTGCACCGCGCTGAAATTCTTCGGGCTCAGGTTTGAGTTCTACCCTTGTGCCATTATGTTGATCCGTTGTTTTGAAACTAAAACCTAAACATCAAGGCAGAATTTTCTGTAGTCTTTAGGACGCTGTAATTAAAACGTCTCAGAAAGCCAAACACTTTATCCAGGATGTGTCCTTTTGGATGGATCGTGGCTGTGTGGGTTCCGTCTTGTGGAACAAACAGATGAGACCCACTGTCCTCTAATAATCACCTCGTAAACGACGATGAATTATGGATTTGCTGAAATAAAATGTCTTAAGCCGGAAGACGTGAATATCGTAGCTATGCTGTAAATCACAATACGTCGTGACAGTAGAATGTTTAAGGGCAGCTGCGAAATAAGAATGGATTGCCAGAGAACATGTGGCTTGTCGAGCATCTGAGGAGTCCCAAATTCAAATAGCAGCCTGGAGAGGAGAATCGGTCAGTCCATCAATCAGACAACTGCATCCCCACAAGTTACTTGTTATCCGTGTCGAAATCCTAGCCTTTCGGTCAACCAACCCATTCCTCCTCTTGGTAAGGCATAAATCAGCACAGGAAACAAGAGATCTTCTACTGTTTTAATAGAAGAAAAACAAGACAACACCAGAGAGACCAAAGCAGCTCCCGATTTTATAACATGATTAAACACACTGTTGTTTCCCTAGACCCAGCTGTGCAAGGAAAAGAATGTGGCTGTTTCTACAGTTTCAGCTGTGCATGGAAAAGTACGTGGTTGTTTCTACAGATTCAGCTGTGCATGGTAAAGTACGTGGTTGTTTCTACAGTTTCAGCTGTGCATTTTAAAAGTACGTGGTTGTTTCTACAGATCCAGGTGCGCATGGAAAAGTACGTGGTTGTTTCTACAGATCCAAGTGCGCATGGAAAAGTACGTGGTTGTTTTTACAGATCCGGATGCACATGGAAAAGTACGTTGTTGTTTCTAAATGAATATCCAGCTAACTTTAACAATAAACTTTAGATGTCATTCCACAAACTGACAGCCTAATTTCACACGCGTATACTGTTACTGAAGAACTTTCCATGTATTCTAGAAACCTGTGAAATGCAAGAGACAAATAACATTAATTAAAAGCGATAACTGTTCAGCCATTAGCTACATGGCTATGTTCATGTTTATGGATTTGGAGACAATGGTTCAGTCATGTCACAGAGATATCAGGAGCAGTTGCCCCCTAGAGGGTAATGTATTTTTATTGCAATGTTGCGAAAGTATAAGGGGGGACAGCTGAAACGATGGGTGTAAATGGTATTAATGGTATCATAGACTGCATAACGTAGATGACAAGAATTGATGAAAGTCCTTCGATGCTTGTCGATATGTTAGCTCGAGATAAAGGACATGACTGATGATGATATATCCTATCAACTCAGTAACTAACCTCCGACACAGTACCAATCTCTAATGCATTGGTCTCCAGTCTGGGGGCGCAAAGAGTTTTCAAGGGAGCGTCAAGCCAGTTTGAATATGAGTGCGTGTGCATTTGAAATAATCCTTTGAATTAAAAAAAAATATTTGTTTCCAGTTGAATAATAAATAACATAATAAATTTTGGCGCTTCTTTGATTTATTCCCCAAAATGGCGGCATGCCAGATTCTGGCCATAAAATATCCAAAAATATCCGAACGACGGTGTTCGCGTATATCTAAAATACGGACTTTCTGCCAACGAACAAATCGCGGCAAAACTAGGATTACTTGACAACCAATATAAACATTTGCACACGGTACTAGTAGCAGACGATAAATACCGACAAATTTCTAGCGTTTCTGCAGACGACGATGCTAGCAGACGATATTACGCTACCGTTGACCAATTTCGAGACATTGCAGACGATGAAAGCCGATTAGCAATACTGTGTTCTTCCGATTGGAGGATTTAGCAGCGGTAGATGTCAGACTTGTCGGCATGCGCCAAACGCGATTAAACTCATCGCCGAGCGTATCTAGGTGCCTGGGACTCACGAGTACAGTAATTGGAGGAAGTTGCAGGAGATGCGGTAGCTGCCACTCGTGAGTCCCAGCCATGTAGTTTAGCCCCCATCCGCGCCGCGCATAGCGGCGCGGGGGATACACTCGGCGGTGAGGCACACTCGCAGAAGCAGGTCGGCAAGCAACGTATCGCCCAGACACTGTCAGAGCATTTGTTTCGTTATTCGGAGCCGGCACATATATTTTTATTAGAACTGACCCCGCATTCGGATATTTTTGGATGTTTTATGGCCAGAAATTAGGCAATTTAGCTCCTTTTTGAAAGCCATCATATTACAGCCGCCATTTTGGGGAACGATTCAAAGAAGCGCCTAAATTTTAAAAAAACGTTTTATAAAACAAACTTCCAATAATTTTTTTTTAATTCCATTTTTATAAGCATATATCTACAGTTGAAAATCTAATTATTATGATAACACATTGTGTATTCTAGACAAGGCAATAAGGTCTACTGTGTTCGTAAATTGTTGCTGTGATTGTTATTCGACATTTGCTTCGTTAATATAAATTTCTGTAACCTCGGGTGCCATTTCAATGGGTTGAAATGAATTCTGTCCGTATTCCATAGTCGTGGATTTCAAGCTGTACGATAGACATGGCCAATGAGACACCTTTTTTGGGGTGCCTAGTTGACCATGTATCTTAGTGCACTTGTATTCATGGCGAGGCGCAGACGCCGTCTGGAGGTGACAGGTTCAATTCCCGGCACGGTAACTATAGCTTCCGCTTTTTATGTTGTCTAGTGTGTTCTTCTATCTTTCTACTTCTTTCTGTGAGTGCCGTTCACAATACTTTCTGTTACTTGATTAATTTATACATTAAGAACACATTCTGACCAAAACGTGTTTCCAAATTCTCTGTTTTCTTGTTGCGGAATTACGGAATCGACTTCCGGGGTGCTGATTGAACGTGACATAGCAAGCAAGTAGGTGCAGTACCAGGTGCAGTCAAGAGGTTAAGATGTTTTGTAAGGTCCTGCAAAAGCGACAGCTCTGCCTCCAAGGCGGTGTCACCTCAAAGGATACACCTAGCCTCAACGTTACGTGAGTCCACAACACAAAACGCCTTCCGCCTACGCACCCGCCCCTGGGATCACCGGTAGCCTGTCTTAAACAGCTCGGTTATGTGCCCACACTTTGGGTCATCTATAACCGGCCATAACTAACTAGAGACGTTACACACAGCGATACGCCTCCACGGCGCGCAGTCGTGAGTCAGCCTCCAGTGCGACCAGGAACACATCCTCGCAGTTGGATCATAAAAAGATGTTAGGCCCTCAACGCATAGTCTCCATTAATCCCACTCAAGTGGGGCATATCGTAATATAACACAAAATTCCAGTGTACAAACTAAACTAGCACCACAATAAAATAAAACACATAACCACTACTAAAAGTCACCCACGTCCGAACAGAATGTGGAGCACCGACTGGACACGGGCAAACTTCAGCTCCACGACTAGTCACACATGTGTCTTGCAAAACCCGTGAAGCCTGAACTCGCTAAATCCGAGAAACACTTGTCTTCTATTTTAGAACCGTGTGGATCTTTTGCACTAGCTGC